TCGCTTCCAGCTGCCTGGCTCCCGGCCGCCATCTTGGCTGACAGTTAATTTGCATAAGGATATGCTGATTAGCCAATGGGAAGGGTAGCGGTCGTACACCAATTACCATGTTTCTCTTTTATTAGTGTAGACTAGCTACCTACACTTACACACTCACTCATCCTAACTCTGCAGCCCCCTAACATCTGTCTGTTCTCCCACACCCTCACCTACTCTTTGCATCCTTGTGCAATCTCAACACATTGGGGAGGGAAAAGGTTAATTTTCATGAACTTTGCACTGGTTATCCAGCAGAGGGCAATCGTTTGCTTCAAAAAATCAGTAAGAAGTCCTGTTCTCTGCTACACATATTCTGGGACAAAGAGAAAAAAAGAAGAGATTTAAGGAAGAGAAACACTAATATCCTAAATAGGATGCAGACTGCTGAAACAGGATCTGATAAGGGTCATGTAAGGGAGAGGTCTTGGCCTAAAACATAAGTATAAAATTGACAAAAAAGAGAGGAAGAACAGAGAGTTCACTAAAGAAGGCAGATTTTCACCATCTCTTCCTGAGCACATCATGGAATCCTGGGTAGTGGCTTTGAGAGAAATGTTTGAGACTCAAGAGTCCTGTAAGGCCTCAATCTCGCCTTGCCTCTACTTTGACCCCAATTATTTTTCAGTGATGACAGATGACCCAAATTGTATGACATAACTTCATTCTGTTGAAGTCTAAATTCACCCTCTTCAACAGCACAGTGATGAAATCCGAATGACTCTTTACAGTAGGTTAAATGAGGTGATTTCTCACCCAGAGAATGATGCAATGAATCCCCAATTCATTTAAACTTATGTTGACCTACACTCCTAAACACCAGCCTCTATAATTCTATAGAGATGAATTATTTACACAGCAACTAAACCCAGATGGACTTCACCAATTTATGAAACTGAACATCTTAGTTCCTCTGCCAGACAAAGACTGCTATAATTCATACTATGTAAGCTGGATTCATACTATAGTCAAAAACCTTATCACCTATTGAACCTGCTCATCCGGTTGCTTTTATGGTCTACACCAAGTCAGGCATATATATTAATGCAAAGCTCTGGCCTCTGGCCTATTCAAGGTGAAATCCTTCTACCTTCTAAGAGTTTCTGCAGGCTGCTCCGCATCACATGGATGTTCTCAATGACCATGAACCTGAATCGAATGTTGGCATAGTTGTTTTCATTTTCATACCCCTTTCCAGCTGCTCTGTTGGCCAAGGCATTCAACTGTAATAGTTGAGTAATAATAGAGCAGATTGGACAGATCATAAAATAACAGGATTCATCAATCTCAATACCTTATTCTAAACAGTTTTAAATCTTACCCATTTAAAAAGATGTTAAATCAGACAAAGCACATTCTGGGATTGAGAGAATTTCACTGGTTTTTAGGTCAGGTTACATTGAGTAACAGAGGAGTATGGAGAGAGATTTAGTGTTTTGTGTTATTACTAAAACTCTGCTTAAGAGGCTGAAGGCTATGGAAGCTATGAGGATATCTGTTCTGAAGAAATGAAATTATTTTGAGCTTCTTATCACAAACAAATGTTTTCTCAGCTGAAGGGGCTTTATACTGGGAAACATGTGAAAGTTCAAAAATCTTTACATCTGAGAAGTTCTAGGAAGAAGTCTAAGAACTTCAGGGACAATGAATTTCAAATAGCTATTCTAGAAAAATGTCTAAAACATGCATGAGATAAATGACTCATTCACTGATAAAATTGACCTGTGTTAACACTATGTTCAGCTTGTGGTAATCAGAATATTTATTTCTAGGTCATAAGAAGAATGTTGGGCAGAGTAGGGAGTAAATGAGATGTAATCAGGAGACATTAAAACAATAACTAGAGCCGAAACCGGTTTGGCTCAGTGGATAGAGTGTCGGCCTGCGAACTGAAAGGTCCCAGGTTCGATTCCGGTCAAGGGCATGTACCTGGGTTGCGGGCACATCCCCAGTAGGAGATGTGCAGGAGGCAGCTGATCGATGTTTCTCTCTCATCGATGTTTCTGACTCTCTATCTCTCTTCCTTCCTCTCTGTAAAAAATCAATAAAATATATTTAAAAAAAAAATAAAACAATAACTAGAAAAAAAAGCCAAAATATTCTATGATGATAACCATCTTACTAATCAACTAGTTTTCTTGTCTGGGCCTGTTTTCTCATCTCCCAGTATTGTCCATTTCAAAAGACAGGAGGAGCATGTATGTGGACATCATGTAGTTTCTGTATTAATAGAAAAGAATGCCATTAAAACCTCAAAAGCACAAATAGTTCATATTAACACATTAAGGGAAAATAGTCTGTGTCAACATATTCTGTTTACAATGCAAGATACTTTTAAAGCAGGGGTGGGGAACCTTTTTTCTGCCAAGGGCCATTTGGATATTTATAACATCATTCACTTAATATAATTCACTTAATATACATTTATGTTGCTATGAAAAAAAGCTCCTACATTTATTGAATTTTGAGTCCTGCCTGCAGTTGCCTTGGCAGGGCCAGACGTTCCCCACCCTTGTTTTAAAGGGAGAAGCATGAAGGTAATTTTGATTACTTATCACACAGACAATGCCACTGATATTTCATTACATTAATAACAATGTCAAAGGGACATCTGTGGAGGTACAAGCAACAGCCATCTTGTAGCAAGTAAATTTGCTATGACTGATAAATGTTACAGCAAACAAAACAATAATTATAGTAGTCCCTCTCCAAGTCTGGGCAGCAGTAGAAAAACTAGCTACTGCAGATAGTTAGCTACATGGAATCACTATAAAATCTTTGAGAATATGTCTGGCAGAGTTAAGGTAGAGCTACATATTAGCAGCCTAATGTTCAAGTAAGGAAGAAATATAACATTTACTGACCTCCTAGTATGTACCAGACACTGTGCTAGATCCTTTACCTATATTATTTCATTTAATCCTCACTAAAACCCCTCAAGATAGGTACTATTATTATTCCCATAAGAAAATAATCTCAGAGAGGTAAACCAATTTCAACCAAAATCATATGGAAAAGGATTGAAGACAAGATCTGACTCCAGATTTATCTAACTCTTAAAAATGTATTTTTGTACAACTACATTACAGTTTCTACTAAAAGTATAGATCTAGCCATCCAGAAGACGGGGGCTGCTAGATATTTATTGCTAGGCCTTCTAAGAGAGAAAAAAGGTACCTGTTAAAAGGGCTTTTTGGTCTTGGGTTTGGAAAAAAGGCACTGATCCTTTAGTTTTTCAAAAGCTTGGTATGTTTTCAATTACCATTTTAAGATATTTAATCTGATGAAAAATAGAGATTTGATTAAACTCTTTCCAATGTGGAATGGCAGATGCAGTTACAGTTGAAACAAGACAGCAAACTTCAGAGAAACTCAAAGATAGTGCCTGAGCAGAAAGGGAAATTAGTTTCTCTCTTGAACCCAGACAGTCTTAGAGCTCTGGAGAATGGCCAGTGAAAGATTCCCAAAATGCAGGAAGCTGTCTAAGGCCACTATCTGATTTCATGCACAGTCAATTGCTCAACTGTGATGCCACAACCTTCTGGCTTAGGCTTAGATCTAAATCACTGACTTAGCCATCACTAGTTAGTAATGAAACCTCCTAGTTAGCTACACTCCACACATCAAAATACAAGCAAAATTATTTCTGGTGCTGTAATGAAACCTCCTAGTTAGCCATACTCCACACATCAAATTACAAGCAAAATTATTTCTTTCTGGGGCTGTTTGTATAAAAAACATACATATTTTAAGAAAAGTGAATCTGTTTTTTATTTGCCTTATTGGGCACAATTAACTCTTTGACAATCCCTTACAGAGCTATACAAAATGTAGAAGGTCAAAGAATTAATACAAAGAGTTTAGGGTGATACTTAGGTTGCTCTGAGGATCCTCCTTTCTGTGACATTCACATGTGAAAGAGACAGAGCCTGAGAAAATACATTATAACAAATAATGCAGTACCTGGCTCTTGGAAAGATGAAATAATTTCACTAGGCCCGTGTCCACTGCCAAAATCCATGGTAAATTATGTTCCTGTTTTTCTCCCCTCTGGGGTCAAGTTTTAAACTTGACTTCATTGAATTGGGAAAAATCTAATCAGTTAATAGTGCTAAAAAATTACTGCTACATAAACTAAAGAATTTTTGTTAGTCATATAACAGTCACATTTGTGAACCCGACTCCTTCAGGAGACATCAAAATATTATTAACCCACTGTGGTTTAAGACATTACTTACAAAAAAGATATGTAGGTATTAATGTTTCCAGTGTTAGGTTTAAATGCTTTATCTGATAGTAAATTTATACCACAGAAGAAAAAAACTGAAAATTCTGATTGATGAACAGATTTAGTAAAAAAGACGAGGGAACAACAAAGAGTCTTCAGGCATTCAATACAGAATTCAGATGTCACAATTTCAGGAAGTGGCAAAGCCAGGTTGTTCAAAGTACCTTCGAAAAATTCAAGAATATATGTCTTGCTTGACAGTGAATGACAGGCTACAATAACAGGAGCTCCAAATGGCTTGCTCGAATGATTTTACACAATGTCTGACACAATAAGCCCATATACACAAACCTAATTCGCCTGCATTTTGGGAATCTTTCACTGGTAGATTAGATGGAATGTTCTCCGTAACTAATTAAAATCAATGTCCTCAGAATGCAGAACTGAAAGAGACAAAGTTCTCCACCCATCCTCTTACCTCGACTTAAACTTTGGAGAAGTGGGTCATACAAAGAAATGGAGCTTCCCTTTCAACTCAGAAGGCCACATGCACCCAAAGTGCCAACACAGATATTTCAGAGCTCATTTGGGGGAATTAGACACATATTAGAATTGGAAAGAATTCACTTTATCCCTACCCATTCCTGTCAAGTATGATCCTAACAAGCCATTTCACAAATGGCACTGCTAAATGACACCTCATCAATCTTCCTATCTAGCAGATATTCAAAACTGTGTTATCAGAAAAGCATTACAATTACTATATTTTTATGATAACAAAAAGCTGTAAATAAAGACTCAATAATTCAGAGATACCACTTAAGCACCAATAAATCCCTTTGCAGAAAAGTTGTCATAGCAAGTCTGACTGCTTTGGAAGGGTTCCCTCCATCCGTTAACCGATAAGAGTGACTACTTGTGCCTAAACTGTTTGAATAAACAATGTGGTTTATACCAAGCACTTTTTTCCTGCTGGGCATCTGAAACTTTGGTATACTAATACACTAGGCAAAGAGTGCCTACATGACCAGCTGCCAATAAAAATCCTGGGCACTGATTCTCCAATGAGCTTCCCTAAAGATATTTTCTACACGTTGTCACAATTTGTTGTTAAAGGAATTAAGCATGTCCTATGTGACTTCACTGGGAGAGAACTCTGAAGCTTGTGCCTGGTTTTCTCTGGAATTTGCCCCTTTTCCTTTGCTAATTTTGATTTATATCTTATCATTTTAATAAATCACAGCCACAAGTACAACTATATGCTGAGTCCTGTGAGTCCTCCTAGTGAATCCCTAAACCTGAGGGATGGTCTTGGAAACCACCAACACATTCCCAGACCTCTTTCTGAAGATCCAGACTTAAATACTTGATATCTTTTGAATCACCTTAAACTCAGTCTAAAACTAAAGACACTGGTGTCTTCTCATGCTCCTTATTTTGGTTACTAGTAACATATCAATTACCCACTTGGTCACCTAAGCCAGAAACCAGGAAACCTGTGTGCCTATGAAATTCTCCCTCCTTATCCCAGCTACATTAATCTGTCACAGGTTCTTTCAATTGTACCACTTAAATATCTCTTAAAACCATCTCCTCCTCTCCACCCATAGTCATTGCCTTAATTCAGCTTCTCATATCATTCTTCTGCATTCTTAGCAAACCAATTCTTCACACCACTACCAAAGTTATCTTTCTAAAATACAAATATACTCACATTACTTTCTGGCTGAAAATACTCTGGTGAATCCTGTCTTCAGGATAATGTTCAAATTCCTTAATGTGGCCATGAAGCCCTTCATAATCTCACTTCACTTCCTGACTTCTTTCCTTCTCTCCCTCTATAAATTAAGACAGATTTCTTTCTCAAAGCTATTCCCCAAAGTGTCAAGCTGTTTCTGGCTTCCCAATCTCAATTCCATATCCTTCATCTATGTTTCCACAGCATCTTCTGCTTCAGACTATGAGAACTCTTATTCAGTGTCTTGAATGCAGTAGATACTTAATAAATGCTTGTTGCATAACTAAATGTTGAATGAAAAGGAGAGATTATGACTGATTTTTCTTTTTTTCAAAACCTTGTTTGCTAACATTCTTCTTTTTTAATTAAATAGACCTAAAGGAAAACAACAATGACAAAATTACCTCATAGTTTCTGTTGGCATCTGTTATGGTACTGGACCACACGCCCATATCTGGACCATATCTGCTGGGTATTCCCATATGCCTAAAGTCTGATATTGGGTCAATCAGTTTCCATCCATTTTCCCTCATTTCTTTTGAAGATTTGGGAGTATAAGAAAAAGCATACAAATCTTCAGGTAGATAAACATGGAGAGGGAGATAAACATGAAAGCAAAGAATAATGAGTGAAACTTAAAGAACAATAGATAATGCTAAAAAATGCTAGACTTCCTTTCTCCCAAATGAAATGATTTTCAAATAGCCCCAGAAAAGGACAATGATCTGTGTAAAATGGTGCCTTTATGTAAGGAATAAGAACTGGCACATAGTTTTCGAGTCTTCTTTTAAAAATGATTTAATTTTTTCTGATACCAATATAAGCAGAAACATTCTGTCTGGCTTCCTATGGATTGCTAGATAATGGACTGAAATGAAGCTTCAGGGCTTCACATGTTTGGGAAGTGGTCCTTACAAAAGTTTTTGTTATTTTTAAATTGAGCTCCAGTGTCCTAAGGGCACTGTTTGTTGTAACAAGTTGCAAAATATTAATATTGTTCTTAAAATCTGTTTATCAGGCCAATACCTACTTCTGGCTGATGAATGGTTATTTCTTCTTTTATTCCAGTCAACCTCACTTCCCTTCACAAGATGCAACATGCAACCAGTAACTCATTTGACTAATTTATGTGGTAACAACTCTTCCAGAAATGGATGGAATCTGTCAGAGTCTTATCAAATATTGGGCCAACTGACAGATAACCTCTGTTAATAAAATACCAGCAATTCTCAGAAATTATTCTAGGTAAAGGGTGGAAGAAAGTGAAAGAGAACGTGTAAAAACATGAAAATTCCACAGATTAAAAGCAGAGAAAGCTGATGGGTTAGACACCTAGAGATGGGGCTGGGGTATGAGACAGTGAGGCTGGAGGAAGCAGAGATAATCAATTATTAAGGATGCTCATAAACCACCCAAGTCTTCAAGCTGGAACTGAAGGTAGGGTTGGGAATAGTGGGCCAAAAATAAAGCTTACAGGACAACAGGAATCAGATTTTGCTCCAAAGTAGACTTCCTTCCTGAACTGATGAAAAAAATTCACAAATTAATACTTAAAAGGAGGGAGGGAAAGAGAAATCAATAACATAGATTAAATATCTACTATATATAGCAAGTACAGAGTAAAATGCACAAATACACTTAAACCTCAAAACAACCCCTGTGGGGTGCTTGTACTATCACTACTTCTACAGGTGAGGAAGCTGTGTTCAGAGGTTATATAACTTGCCCAAATGCCATAGAGCAGAAATCAGATCCAAACCCTGCCCTGTTTAACTTCATAGCCCATGATCTCTCCAGTCTGCCATATTTGGGGAAAAAATCTAAAATGGTGTTAGATAAAAATACTATCATACCTACCTGGCTGAGAAAGCTTGAGCAGTGAAATATAAACCTCATGGCACACAGTGTCAGAGTCTAAAACAAAGTGGGCCACCTGGAAGTTCTTGCCGCTGAGAATCAGTGAACAACCCAAGCTAGTAATGGTCAACTTCTCCACATTGGCAATGTGATGCAGTGCAATCTACAAAACAGAAAAGAACCAAAATAAATTCACAGGCATACACTAGTTCTGGCGTAATCAGTGTGCCTGACTCTAAATAATGGTAACAGAATAACCAGAGATGTAATCACATCTACAGCCATCAACCATCCTTTGTAAGGCACAACTGGGTTTCTCTCAAACAGAAGTAAATAGTGGTAAAACAATAAGAAGGAAATTGCAGTGTTATAAAACTCCTCCCGCCTTAGGGATATAAGGCTACCAGGTTTGTGGGGCAATTTGTGGTAAATTGTCTCAGTACAGATGGCTTCTAGCATTCTATGGTGACATGTACAATCATAGTAGAATAAATAGAACTTTCTTTTGTTCTACCAAATGACTAATTAAAATTAATAACTAGTATTGTGCTTTATTTCTCATAAGGTCATCCATGACCATTAACTATTTAATCCCTACAAGAAACCTTTGAGGTATAATCATCCCATTTCAGGAATGAATAAGCCAAACTTCTGAGAAGTGAATTCCTCATCAGAAGTCACACAACCAAGAAGTGGCGCAAACAGGATTTGGACCATGGCAGTCTAACTCCAAGTCCAGAGTTTTATTTACCTAAGAATTCTAAAAACTAATCCTGGAATTAGGCTTTGACTAGAAATATTAGGGGGAAATTTTCTCTTCCACATTTCAGACTCTAGTGGCAATAAAGCAAAGAATGAGATGGGGGGAAAACTGACCTATGTAACTTAGGAAATGAGTAGAGACTCTAAGACTAATACATGTTATATGTATAGTGCATCACCCATGATAAATACTATTGAATAAGTATAAAATTGAATGTACATATGAAATAAATACAGTTGATACTATATTATAGTTAATAAAGTTGTTTCCTATGAGAGTACAAATTAAGGATTCTGATTTTTTTAAAGGATGACTAAATCTTTAGTCGTATTACTCCTGCCCATGCTGATGCTAGCAAAAAAGATATTTGTGGAAAGTAAACTGGTAAAAATGAATTGTATTTAAATAATATAATTCTTGCTTTATAGAATCAGAAATCTGATTCTTTACATGTTAGTCTTTGGTGTTCTCCTATCTGTGTCTCTGATGTTTCCTGCAACTAGAACCTAGGTGTAATCTTTTCATTCTTTGGACTACCTGTCCTGTGCCTGGAATGACCTTCTGATTATCATTGTCTTTTCTTTTCCTCTATCATGCACACTTTTTTGGGTAAATAAGCCTCCTTTGATATGTAGAAATAATTAACATAAGTTCTCCCTTCCAGATCTAGTCCCTTGGGTTTGAAATAATACCCAGTAGGAACATATCTAGGGAAATGTGTGCTGTCTATAAATATAGGTTAGCAAGGAGAAGGCTCATGGCAAAGTACTAAAGAAATGTTTCCTAAACTGTTAGAAATGGAAAAATCTCACCTAATTATATACTCTAATCACCTCATTTTACCGATGAAGAAATTAAAGCCCAGAGAGCAAGGGTTACTTACCTAAGCTCATACAGTCAGTTACTGCATAGTTGAGTCAGGAACCAGGTCTCCTGATTCCTCTTTTGGCATTACTTTCATCACACCAAAAGGAGAAAGTACAATATCAAATGAGAAAAGCTCATGTTGTTTTAAAAAGGAAGTATTAAAATACAGTTGACTCTTGAACAATGGGTTTGAACTGTACAGATCCACTTATACATGGATTTTTTTCAATAAATATACAATTGGTCCTCTATTTCTGCAGGTTTTGCATCCACAGATTCAACTAATTGCATATCACAAACAATATTTTCAATCCATGGTTGGAAATCCACAAATGTGGAGGGCCAACTGTATGCTTAAGTCCTTTATATGGCATACATCAAAAGATTTTGGTATTTGTAGGGGATTCTGGGACCAATCATTCATGAATACTAAGGGAGTTTTGGGGAGTCAAAAGTTATATGAAGATTTTCAACTGCACAGGGGTCAGCACCCGCTAACCCCCACATTGTTCAAGTATCAACTGTATTTATTTCATATGTACATTCAATTTATTTTATACTTATTCAATAGTATTTATCATGGGTGATGCACTGTTTTAAGCAATTACAACAACTTTTTAATTTTCATAATAAGGTTATTATTACTATCCCTATTTTACAGATGATGAAAGTGAGACACAGAGAAGTTAAATAATTTGCCCAAGATTATAAAGGCACTAAATGTTGAATCTGGGATTGCAACCTGAATAGACTGGCTCTAGAGCCTGTGATCATAATCACTATGCTATGCTGTATACCAGAAGCATGTGGTAGTTCTTATAAAGCTTCCCAAGAATAAATCTGGTTAATGATTAAGTTAAGATTAAATGATACTTTAGGATGAGGAAGGCATAAAGTAATGTTAGGGGTACTAAGCTAATCAGAAAACATTGTTTAAGAAATAGAAAACATTGTTTAAAAATGTAACAGGTAACACACACACACACACACACACACACACACACACACACACGATCCTCATCCTGTCTTAGGTCATAAAGATGGTCTAAATCATTGATAGCCAAGGTGTTATCCACAGGCCATCAGCATCATCTGTGAGCTTTTTAGAAATTTAAAATATTAAGCCTGAGATTCTGCATTTTTACAAGCTCCCAGGTAAAACGGATACTGCTAGGTATCCACATTGTATGGGTAGCAAGGCTTTCAATTACTTCCAGTTGATAAGGATGCTTATCAACTACTAGAGGCCTGGTGCACGAAATTTGTGCATGGGTGGGGGGAGGTCCCTCAGCCCGGCCTGCACCCTCTCGCAATCCAGGACTGCTGGCTCCTAACCACTGGCCTGCCTGCCTGCCTGACCCCTAACTGCTGCCTCTGCTTGCCTGCCTGCCTGCCTGCCTGATCACCCCTAACCGCCACTGCCTGCCTGCCTGATTTCCCCTAACCACTCACCTGCCTGCTTAATCTCCCCTAAGCACTCTCCTGCCTGCCTGATTGCCCCTAAGCACTCGCCTGCCTGCCTGATCGCCCCTAACCACGTGCCTGCCTGCCTGTCTGTTCACCCCTAACTACTCGCCTGCCTGCCTGATTGCTCCTAACCACTCTCCTGCCTGCCTGATTGCCCCCAACCACTCGCCTGCCTGCCTGATTGCCCCTAACTGCTCACCTGCCTGCCTGGTTGACACTAACTGTCTCTGCCTCAGCCCCCGCCACTGCAGCTTTGTCTGGAATGACATCCGGAAGGATGTTCGGCTATCTGATTTAATGAGCATATTACACTTTTATTATTATAGATACACAGAAGATGAAAAGAGGCTATTAAACTAGAATTATTAAAGAAATAATTAAAATAACTAAGATGTCCCTGTCTGGGTGGCTTAGTTTGTTGGAACATCATCCCATACACTGAAAGGTTGCGGGTTTGACTCCTTGTCAGGGCACATACCTACGTTGGGGGTTTTATCCACTGTTGGGGCATGTATGGGAGACAACTGATTAATGTTTCTCTCTCACATCAATCTCTCTCTCTCTCTCTCTCTCTCTCTCTCTCTCTTTCTCTCTCTCTCCCTTCCTCTATCTCTAAAAATCAATGAACATATCCTTGGGTGAGGATAAAAATAAATAAATAAAATTATTAAGATGACTATACTTAATAACTTGAGATATGAGGTTCTTTGAAGAAAGGTTTTACGGAAATATAACTGTTACTTGAAATTTTATGAAACTACCATATTAGAAAGCATATACACACAACTCTTCAAGATCATTTGAAACTTCTCATGAACATACCCATGTTTCTTTCCTGGCTGCACCAGAAGCCTCCACATAGATCAGGTGAGTTACAATAAGATACAGAATCCCATTACCTGGTTTCTTAGCCATATAACAATCCAGTAATGTCACATTTTCTACCTGTTATTTGGGGAGAGGGGAGAAACTGATTAAATTATCAACTCAACATTTACGAATAAAGTGAGATAATTCAAAGCCAGTTAAATGCTGTTAATTTGCTAATGACCTTTGTTTAGGTCTTCTAGTTCCTGCCAAGGTATCAAATTAATATGATCTATGTTTCTTTTTTGTAAATCAGCCCTAGACAAACTATAACCATAAAAAGGAATCATGTATAATAGGAAGGATTAACATTCTACATGATTTCACCATGATGGGGCAGGTGTGCATGGATGATAAATAAGACATAGAGCCTTTTGAGATACTTACCTTGTTGGAGGGATGTTGTAGTTATTACTTGTGTAAAATATCAATAGAGGTAAATAACATGAGGTTAGGACTTAAGTTAAAGGGCAAGAAAATATAATATTTAACCTTCTACAAGCAGGAGAAAATTTGATCTATCTATTCAAGCAGGAAATGAAAAACAAAAACAAAAAAGAGAGTGCTTTCTCAGGTTCTCTGCAGCTATTCCGGGTCTTTTTTTATTTCAGATGAATTTTTGGAGAGTTCGTTCTAGGTCTGTGAAATATGCCGTTGGTCCTGAGGACCCCTCACAGGACTGCACCCCGTCTACACCTGAGGACCCCTCACAGGACTGCACCCCGTCTACACCTGAGGACCCCTCACAGGACTGCACCCCGTCTACACCTGAGGACCCCTCACAGGACTGCACCCCGTCTACACCTGAGGACCCCTCACAGGACTGCACCCCGTCTACACCTGAGGACCCCTCACAGGACTGCACCCCGTCTACACCTGAGGACCCCTCACAGGACTGCACCCCGTCTACACCTGAGGACCCCTCACAGGACTGCACCCCGTCTACACCTGAGGGCCCCCTCACAGGACTGCACCCCATCTACACCTGTGTCCTGAGGGCCCCTCACAGGACTGCACCCCATCTATACCTGAGGGCCTCCTCACAGGACTGCACCCCCTATACCTGGGTTCTGAGGGCCCCTCACAGGACTGGACTCTCCTGACATTTACTACTCTGAGGGTCTGAGCAGAAGTCCAACTGGTGTGCTTGGAGCTGTGGTTCCCCGAGAGCCTGTGGCAGGACCGGGCGCTGGCGTCTCATCCCCACCCAATGGAAAAGCAGGAAAAAGAACAAACACCACGCCCACCAGCTGAGTGACACATGGACCCAGGTCTGAAGCGGCCTCACCTGATTCGACAGAGCAGGCCATGCACCTGAAATGGGACCCGAGTGGTGACTGAGAGTCCATTTTCTGAGTTTCATGGAATCCTGTATTATGTCTGACAGCTCCATTTCACACCAATGGCCGGTTCCACGCTGCTAACGAAGTACAAAAATGAGAAAATGTCACTAAAAACAAAAGAAGGCAAAAAGTGCATGCAAGTTCGACGCCATCAGACCGACATTCCTGTGGGAAACGCCTGTTCTCACGTTGCCATGACGTTTTCAGGGGCTCCTCGCTGCACCCCTGGGAGCAGTGCGGTGGGCACCTGTGGCCCTGGGACCTCCAGGGTCCTCTGCCCTGGCCCCACCGTCCCCGCACCTGCTCCTAAATCAGGACTATCACCTACATGGACAAGCTCGTTTTCCCCAATCAGGTGAAAACAAAATGAGGTTCTAGCAAGACCAATGTTTACACCAGAAATAACACAAGATGAGGCGACCCATCCCATTGGCTGTCCCTCCAATGAGCTTCCAGTGGCCTCCACAGGCAGGGGGAGCCAGGGCCTCCTCTCCCTCTGCACTGACTCTGCAGCGAGATTCTGCCTCCTCCCTGCCCAGCTGGACTGCAGGGTCCCCTCCACGTGGTGCCTATGGGCACAAAGGCCCCCTCTCCTGCCCCCACCGCCCCCAGGGACAGAGGCGGCAGGGTTCAGACTCAGCCGCCCATGCTGCCTCAGCTCCTGTTCCTTCCGCCCGTCTGTGGCTTCACCGATCACCACTGCACCATGGGCACCCTCTCTTCCGCCTCCGACACAGCTGCGGCCTTTCTCTTGTGCAGCCGTCTGTCCACCTGATTACCTGCCTGGTTGCTGCTCCCCTGACGGGCCTCCCGCCTGTTCTATCTAGTGAGCTGCTCCTAGAGGCAGCCCTGGGGCGTGTTCTGTCCTTTCTGGGGTCTCACTCCCCAATTCGGGACCCGAGGGCTGGAGGTGGATGCCTGTGTCATTCCTCACAGTAACACCTTGTAATGAAAAGCCACTGCGGACAGAGCAGGGTAACGATTAAAAAACCAGCTCTGAGACTCCGCGGAGTTCTGGAAGGTGGAGCCCTGCGAGTTCCCACAGCCTCCCAGGCTCTTGTTTACACACTTCCTCTTAAATCTGTGAGTTTGATTGTTGATCCCGGTGCATGTGATTGCCCAATTGGGGTCGCTAGCGGAGCTTGTAGGGGAAGATTGTTTTTGGGGAGCCTGGAAAACAGAGCTGAGAGTGGCGACTGGTGAAACAGATCTGGGCGGAGCTGGTTCAGGTACAATAGAGAACTCCTGGTCAGAGAGGACTTAAAGCCTTGGAGGTCAATCCAGACACACTGCCACCCAGAGGCAGAGCCACGAACTGACTCTTCTGTACATACAAATACAGCAGTAAGGGGAACCAATACGGCCTGCCTTAAAATCAGGACTGTGGCTTACAACACGGAGGAACAGTGTATCAGAGGGAAATTCAACATTCTCCTGAATTCCGGGCGTGCCAAAAAGAAGAGTAGAAGATCTGAAGCACCTGCATTACTGCACATTTTTATTTTTATTTTTTTTAATTACTTTTTCACCTTTTAACTAAGAAAACATTGTTTTTCTTTTTTTTTTTTCCCATCACCTGATTTTACCCTTTCAACTACTACATTTTTATTTTTAACTAGTATTATTACCGCTACCATTTTACCATTTTTTAAAGTGTCATTTTCTTTTCTTTTATTTTTTTTATTTTTTTATTTTGGGACTAATGTCCTCCATTCTATTTTCATCGTTCCTTTAGCAACATTTTTCTCTACCTCAATTTGCCTCTGTGCTAAACCCTCTTCCCCACTTTTTCCCTTTTGTTGTCCTGTTTCTCTTACCCTACTCCAGCTTTAGATTTTCCCTATTCTTTTTACCCCCTGTCAAAATTTCACCCTACTTATATACCCTATGTCCAATCCCCTGCTCTAAATCCTTATACACCTTTCCCTTATCTTCCTTCACTATCCAAATTTTTTTCTTCTTCTTCTTCTTTTCTCTCTCTATTGTTTATTGTTGTTTGCTCGATTGACGAGTATATTGGGGGTTTTTTTAGGATCGTTTGTGAGGTTAGTCTGCTTATTCTTTTTATTTTTCTCCCCCCGCCCCCCGGTTATTTCTGTGCTTCTGTTTTCCCTTGCGTCGCTTGATATTATTGGTTGTTTGTAGTTTGTATTCATCTCCAGGAATCTGCTGCTGTAAATTGTTGGTATTAGTGGCGGTTCTATAGGAGTTTTCCCCTCATATAAATAGTCTCTTCCCCTCTTATACTTCACTCTCTTTTCTCTCTTACTTTTTTTTTTCCTCTTCTTTTTTTTCCCTCCCTTTTTCCAATTTTATTTTTGCACTCCTTTTTTTTTCTTTTTTCTTTCTTTCTTTTTTCTCTTCTACCTTTTTCTCTTCTTTCTTCCTTATCTCCTAACTCTCTTAGCTCGGGTGGCCACCTTTATTTGGGGTTATTGATATCGTAAATACATTCGTGTTCAGTGCCTGGTACGTTGTGCCTTGTTGTGTTGTATTTTGTGCCTTTAAATCAACGCAGCAGATTCAAGCAACAGCGGCCTCCTGATCTCCACACGCTCTGTCTGGGGAACAGTTACTGTGTGTGAAGCCTCCCTCCACCAGCCAGAAGAGCCACCACAGCTGTGAACAGCACCCACCAGAGGCCCTGCTATCAACGGAGGAGCCACTGCTACCACAACCGCCCAAGGAGCAACCACAGCCCGAGGAGCCACTGCCACCCAGGGAGCAGCCACTGAACGACTCAACAACTAGATATGTCAGTGAGATCAAACATGGGTAGACAAAGAAACCCCCAAAGGAAAGAGAAGGAGGACTCGCCAGAAAAGCAGCTAAGTGAGACAGAGGCATGCAACATGACGGAAAAAGAATTCAGAATAAGGGTCCTAGAGTACATGCACCGGTCGGAGGAAAAAATCAATACCATATGCAAGAAGCTAGAAGAATCAGATGAAAAATTCAATACCATATGCAAGAAGCTAGAAGAATCAGATGAAAAATTCAATACCATATGCAAGAAGCTAGAAGAATCAGATGAAAAATTCAATACCATATGCAAGAAGCTAGAAGAATCAGATGAAAAATTCAATACCATATGCAAGAAGCTAGAAGAATCAGATGAAAAATTCAATACCATATGCAAGAAGCTAGAAGAAACAGATGAAAAAATCAACAACTTAAGTAAGGCCCAAGAAGAAATGAAGAGTGATATAGCTGCCATAAAAAACTCCATTGAAAGTATCAACAGTAGACTAGGAGAAGCGGAGGACCGAATTAGTGAATTAGAAGACAAGGAAGCAAAACACACCCAAACTATACTGCAAATGGAGAAAAAAATTAAAAGACAGGAGGAGAGCCTAAGGGAGCTTTGGGACAACATGAAACGAAACAACATACGAATAATAGGGGTGCCAGAACAACAGAAAGATGAACATGGATTAGAAAACCTATTCGAAGAAATAATATCAGAAAACTTCCCTGAGGTGGGGAAGAAAAAAGTCACACAAGCCCAGAGAGTCCCAAACAAGGTGAATCCGAAAAGACCCACACCAAGACACATCATAATTACCATGGCAAATGTTCAGGACAAAGAGAGAATCTTACAGGCTGCAAGAGAGAGACGGAAAGTTACATACAAGGGATCTCCCATTAGATTATCAAATGATTTCTCAACAGAAACACATCAGGCCAGAAAAGAATGGACAGAAATCTACAAAGTGATGCAAAGCAAAGGACTGAATCCAAGAATACTCTATCCAGCAAGGCTTTCATTCAAAATTGAAGGGGAAATAAGAAGCTTCACAGACAAAAAAAGGCTAAGGGAGTTTATCACCACCAAGCCAGCCATGCAAGAAATGCTAAAGGGACTGGTGTAAAAAGAAGAAATAACAAGCTCAGAAAGAAAACAGCCACACACACAAAAAAAGAAATGGCTACAAACAAGTACCTTTCAATAATAACTTTAAATGTAAACGGACTAAATGCTCCAACCAAAAGACATCGAGTGGCTGAATGGATAAAAAAACATGACCCATACATCTGCTGTCTACAAGAGACCCACCTCATTAGAAGGGACTCACACAGACTGAAAGTGAAGGGATGGAAAAATATCTTTCACGCAAATGGAAAGGAAAAGAAAGCTGGGGTAGCAATACTTATATCGGACAAAATACATCTCAAAGTGAAGGCCATAACCAGAGATAAGGAAGGCCACTTCATAATACTAAAGGGATCAATACAACAAGAAGATATAACCCTGGTAAACATATATGCACCCAATGCAGGAGCACCCAAATTCATAAAAAAACTCCTGGAAGATATCAAAGGAGAGATCGACAACAATACAATCATAGTAGGGGACTTTAATACACCACTGACACCACTGGATAAGCCCGCTAGACAAACAATCAGCAAAGAAACAGCAATCCTAAATGACTCACTAGATCAGATGGACTTAATTGACATCTTCAGAACACTTCACCCCAAAGCTGCGGAATATACATTCTACTCAAGTGCTCATGGGACAGATTCAAAAATAGACCACATATTGGGTCACAAGCAAAGTCTCCACAAATTCAAGAAGATTGAAATCATAAAAAGCTTCTTCTCAGACCACGATGGCATAATGTTAGAAATAAACTACAATAAAAACAACCCAAAATACTCAAACACTTGGAAGCTGAATAGCATGTTATTAAATATTGATTGGGTTACCAATGAGATCAAAGAAGAAATTAAAAACATCCTGGACACTAATGACAATGAAAACACAACAATCCAAAACCTATGGGACACAATGAAAGCAGTCCTGAGAGGGAAGTTTATAGCTCTACAGGCCTATCTCAAAAAACAAGAAAAAATGGTAGTAAATCATCTAAATCTACAGCTCAAAGAATTAGAAAGAGAGCAACAAGAAAACCCCAGAGTGAGCAGAAGGAAGGAGATAATAAAGATTAGAGCAGAAATAAATGACATAGAGACCAAAAAAACAATACAGAAAATCAATGAAACCAAGAGCTGGTTCTTTGAAAGGATAAACAAGATTGACAAACCTCTAGCCAGGCTCACCAAGAAGCAAAGAGAGAGGACCCAAATAAACCAAATCAGAAACGATAGAGGCGAAATAACAACAGACCCCACAGAAATACAAATGATTGTTAAAAAATACTATGGACAGCTCTACTCCAACAAACTAGACAA